TTTTAAGAAAAAAATAGACACCTCGAGCAAGCCCTTGTGGCTATTAGCTAACTTTGTTCCCAGTGATCAAGTTTATGCATGTTGACAAAAAACTTGTAGAAATTATGATCGAGACAGAATTATGAGTTGGAATAGATTTTGCGTAAATGATATTAAAATAACTAAAAGTTAGTTCAAAGATTCTATATAAGATGCGTAAAAGTTTAATGAGGGTTGACCATTAAGTCACCATTAAGCTCAGCTTAATGGTGGCTTAATGGTAGCTTAATGAAGTTTGGACATTAAGCACCTGTAAGTTGCAGCTTAATGGTGGCTTAATGGTGGCTTAAAGGAATTAACTTCTTTAAGCCACCATTAAGTCACCATTAAGCTACCATTAAGCGATTGCTTAAAGGTGGTCTTTCGTCTTGTGGACTGTAGTAACTTCTCTGAACTACCTAAATATGACGTCATAATAGAGTATGACGTCAAGTCAATGCATACTTGAGCTAACATGACGGGGAAAGTGTCGCAATTTGTATATCACATGTAAAGTGTTAGGATTGTTTTTAAGCTTCAGTGTTCTGTTATGAAGTTGAAAATTTGAAATTTAAATATTCCTATTCCTTCCACTTGTCCGATATGCACATATTCAAACATAAGAGAAAAATCATGCGTGAAACGCTCCCCATACACGTCCGTAGACAGAGTTAGAATTTAACAATCGTGTTTATATTGGACTGGCATAAGTGATAAACAAGCATAGTTTGAAGATATTCTGTTAGAATCTACAAGAGAAGTATATCCTCTAACTGAATTTTGCTGGGGGATTGTGTGTAGTTCATCCATTTTTGTATAAATCGCGGTAAAGAGTGGAAAATACCTCCTCTTATGTTGGTAAGTTGAATTTCTCATGAAATTTTTTCTTACCGAGTAAAAATTAAACCTGCCCCCAGCACTTTTTATGTACCAGAGATCGCGCTGAATGAATTAATGTAACAAACTTTGCACAATATTTTTGTTTTGCACTTTTACCAAACCGATTTTTGTGCAACATTTAGGAATATCATAAATCGCCGTCACGTGATCAACACAGCCATGTGGCATCAAAAAAATGCTTTATTTTAATACCTGATTAAACTAATATCTCAAGTTGACTGTAATTTCAAACAAGGATTACAGGAACAAACAAGGATTAAATATTGAAATTAAAATCTACCACAAGATATAATGTATATTTTAAAGCATTTTAAGCCTTCAGACAGCCTTATAATAAGTGCGTTCTTCCAAATTTGTGAATTTTATTTCCCCAGGTTCAGGGGTTCTAATGGTAGGGCGGGGCTTTAACTCTTTACAACTTACTGAGCTGTTATGCAACATACGCTTCATGTCTACGTCATAGAAGTAGAAATTTACCATTTCCACGCAAGCACCTTTTAGCGTGGTACACATTTCTCTAAAGTTAAGCGTAAATTATATATTATATCTTTATACAAAAATAACTGTTCTTATTTTATGAGATTTTTGCAAGTATAAAATAGAAGGAAATTGGCATTGAATTAAGGATTAAATGAAGTGCGTGAAAATGCGTGATTGCGGGGAAACGGTATATACGTGATTTTGTGTTAGAAATAGGAAATGGTATATGCGTTAACATGCGTGACTGAGGGGAAAGGGGATATAGAGTAAAAAGTGCAAATGGATTATTTGTTTGAAAATTTTCTTCTCTGTTAATTCTAAGTCCCCAGGGTAAGGGGTTCTGGTGTTGGGGTGGGGCTCTTTTTCTTAAATAGTGAAAATACAATAAATCTTTGAATTTTTTCGTCTCTGCTTCTGGGTATTAAGCAGATGAACTACCTTTATAGCTATGATGTGCTAGGACCTTTCTTTCAGAATTGTGAATTTGAAGGCCCCTGGGTCAGCGGTACAATATGGTACAATATGGGAGAGGAAACTGGGCTCTCCTTGTATACTGAATATGAATTTATTGTTTGAAATCTGCTCCTTGGTATTAATCAAACATTTTTATAAGCAAGGGCACCTTTTCCAAAAAATTGCAACGTGTAGATCTAGGATCCGGGGTTCAGGTGTGGTAGGGACACCACTAATTATTGCTGAATATTTTTGATTAATTAAAATGCATTTTTGTTCCCCTACCCTACCCTAAATATGGATATTAAGTATTAAAACTAAGCAACTGCTAAGTGTATAGTTATGATGAGCAATGGTGCATTTTTCAAATTGTGAATGCCATAGCATTTGGTTTGAAACATAAATCAAATCCAATCATTGGAAAGTTGTTGCATGATGCTCAGGTGACCTATAAGTCCCATGGGCCTCTTGTATTTTAGAAAAATACAGGGCTTAATTTGTATTAAAACTACCTTGCTCTTCGTTTTTATGGCCCTTCCCACTTCTTTTTTTTAATTCAAGAGTTTGTGTTTTGTCTCAGTTATTCAACTACAGTATATTTACGGATTACTATTAGTAATAAAGAACTATATGCGGTATATTGCATATATTTGCCCCCTCAAAAGTCAAATTTTGAAAACTTCCAGAAAGGTGCTGAATTCAATAAATAAATCGAGAAATATCAATTAACAGAAAACATTATAGTGTCAAAGCAATGTATTCACAATTTTTGTTTTTATGACGTCACAAACTAGTCCGATTTTATATCCTTTTTCAGAAAGAGGACAAAATGGACAAAATTTCAACAATTTTAGCTTTAAAATTTATAGAGCGCAAGTTTGTTCAGCAAAAATATTGACCTATTTCATTGATATTATCATTTTACACATTATATCAAAATATTGATCCTGAACACACATGCGCTCAGTGACTTGTACTTAAAATATCGACGAAATATGTACATTTTTCTTTAGAATTCATAAAACACTTAAATTTACGTCATGTTTGTGACGTCATTACGTACATTTGACGTCATTACTTATGAAAATATTCAGTGCTTTGAAGTCAGCAATAACTCCCCTGTTAAAGAACTTAATTAAATATATATCCATCAAAGTTTGATTGGGGGGGGGGGGGGGCAAATATTGGATATTACCGAATAAAGTTCTTTAATGAATATATAAAGAATTAATGATCAACAATAAATTGTCAATTGTATATTTTAGGTATAGTGCAGATTTTTTTTCTGTTTTTTTTTTCGCTTCAATTTTTTATATATAGTACATACCTGATGACATCATCTTCATGAGTGATACCAAAATCAATAGCTGTGAAGGATTCTAGATTGTAGGCCTTTTAGTCAATGATTATGTTATTCTGAAAAAGAAAATTCCTTTTAATTTTATGTGTATTTTTCATTACAAATAAACAACATAAACATATTTACTTTGCAAAACACATCTTGAAAAAAGTTATATGTAATGTTATCACTCAGGCCTTACTGTATATAAATGTTTAGATCCCGGACATTCATCAAAATTGGGGGTATTACACGTAAGGTGGTATTCTCTGTCAACTAGTATCATATCCTTGCTTTTAAATGTTGTTCTTTTGATGGCCTCTTCTTACAAGTCTTATATACAGATATCTCAAACCCGTAATCATATGATTTGGTTTCAATTCATAAGAAATATTTATACATAAACAGATGCTAAAAATAAAATCCATATACATAATTTAAAAACTTTCGTAAGAAAATATGCACGTCAAAATAATAAACATACGTTGTTCAGAAACATATTAAATGCAATTTTCAAGCATAACCAACAAATTCTGCCTGATTTTCAACAAGTTAAGATCAACCAATAATGCATTTACAGTAAATTAAAGCTTGATAATTATTCCATCCTGGACCTCACCTTTGTTAGTTTCTATTCTTGGGAAAACCGAATGAAATCTGTTTTAATAAATACATGTATTGTCATTTACAAAAGACAAAAATGACAAAATATAATAACTAAAACTACATGCATGAATAACCTTCAACACTTATACAAAAATCCCTTGGTAGTAAAGAGACGTTATTGTGTATTAAAAATGAATATGCAGAAGCAAAAAAAAAATCAAATTACTCATGCATAAAGGTATGGCTTGTCATAATTTACATTCTCTGACATTTCTAGTGTAAACGCAAATTATGAATATTCTCTTTTCAGGCAATCCGGTGTCAATTCAGTATCAATAATTACTGAGCAAATGATTTGCAACAGTGTCTGCTTTTAATGCAACTGATTTTTTAGATGGTAAACTGTTAAGTACTGCAGCATGTTTTCTTCGAAAAAAAAGTCACAGTTTTGCATAAAGGTATTTTGGTTTCTTTTCGTCGACAAAACAGACTCCAAATAAATTTAATTTCTAGGCCTAATCAAGGATGAACGGGGATTTATTCCCAGTTGTATTTCATATGTGTATGTGATAGAACCCAGGGTAAATCCCCATGCATCCTCAATTAAACCTCGATAAACAATAGCTCATATCATAAAATGTAAATTAATCTAGCTAAAGGATGTGCAAAATATATATTATAAAAATGGTCATAAACAATTCTAAACCCTATACATAGAAAACCCAAACAATGTAAAAATATAATTTACCTTGTCAAAGAATCTACATTTATTTTAAAGTTTTGGAGGTAGAATAATTATACAAAATTCACGGAAATGAAACAGTAAGAGGTTGGAGATTGGTCGAATAAATTATTCCAATTGTTTTGAAAGAAATTTTATGTTTTAAACAATCGAAAATACCATAAGTATCTATATCCAAACGCTTTAATTTGGCATGTAACTTGATTTAACCATAACACATGGATCAAAATTTGATTTGTTTAAGCATGCAAACCGAGTTGATGCGCGAAGTATTTAATACAGAGTCTATTAATTCAAATTTAATTAATTCACAATAATTCCTGGCGTTGTACCCATTAAGATTAAATTCACAGTAACTAATGTTTTATTCAAATAAATCCATCCGTGTGAACATGGCATAAATATTTAATTTCCAATTTGACATATTAAACTTAAAGATTGGAGAGAATTCAGCATACAGTTTCAAACATAGCTTAAGCTTGAAATTGCATCTTTTCGTTTTATAATTTTCCACTCATCTGGCACACGAGGAAGAGTTAAATCGTATAACTTAGCAAGGCGTTTTCCATATATTTTAATGAACCAATACCAGTATTTCGATAGTTCCGGTGAGGGTTTTATATCCCATGTTGGGATTTGATTCTTGTAGTCTTTGTATGGATGATATATCTGCGAATCCTTGTTAGGACAGTTGCACCAGTCACCACATATGAGGGCCATATCAGTTTCAATGAGATAGTTGCAATTTTCTAATACAAGTTCTTCACTTCCTTCGCTATGAATTCCATTAACACCTTGTGGGCGGTGTTGTACACAAAAATGTTCATGCTTGTCAAACCTAGATGTAGTAGCACAGGGTTCCTTGCACCAGGGGCATGTTTCCGGACATCCCCACAATTTTTCCATGATAACTTTGTAAGGTGATTCATCCTTCCAAGATACCGATTCTATATCACTCTTTTTAAACATTTCATTAAGTTCCTCTTGAATGTCATCAAGATTTTTTTTTATTACGGACGACAAATCTTTGAAATTTTTAATACCCAAATTTTTTATGGAATGGAAGGGCTCTCTAGAAAAATTATAAGTATGTTGCTCTAAATCTAACAGAAAATTTTTTATCCATTCTGCAACATTCAGTGGGGATTTGGGTTCACTTGATGCTTTTTCTACAGATTTTTTTATTTCGGTTATCATCCTTCCCAAGGCTTCCATTGCAAAAACTGCGTAATATGTATTTCCATTTTCTACAAGCTTGCGGAAGTGAGTTTTTGTATAATCAGTTATCCATAACTTTGAATATGATTCACAACAGGTAATATATTGCATAAACTTTTCAAAATCTTTTTTTTCTGCAAGATCTGTGAGGATAGCCTTAATAAGGGGATATTTTGTATATTGGAATGTATAAGCTATTTTCTTTATAATATGCATATATAATTCCCTTTCAACTTTTTCCTGTAATAAAGGCTTCATTTCCAAACAGAAAACATTAGAAACAATTACTTCGTTTGCCTTTGCCGTGCAGATACCAACGAAGTAAGCTTCTGTTTCCTTGCGACTACTTTCAATTCTTGAACGTAAACTGCTTTTTGATTTAAAAGCTTTTATCATTTCCGAAAACCGGTACACAGAAAACCTTGCAACATGAAGAGCTACTGTTATTTCCAGGGGGATTGTCAATGTATATCCATGTTTTGAATCCCTGTAATGTGCCTGAAAGTTATCAGTGACAATCCTAAGAATTTGACTAAAAATTGTAGGATCATATTCGTTATCAGGCTCAAGATCTGTGACGTACATATCAACTTTGGTAAATACTAAATTGATGAATTGATGGGCTCTATTCCTGCACTTTTCTCTCCACACAAATTCTATAACTTTTTCCCATTTGGAATGAACTGAAATAAATTTGGGGTTAATATCGTCAATCGTCATTGAATTCCTTAATATATAAAATTCCCCCCATGTTTCAACGGACTGCGCCTTTAGACCTTCTTTTAATAGCCCTTCATGTTTACTATACCTGTCGTAGAGCAGATCTACAGTATCACTTTTCATTTTGTTTATATCATCTTCAACATCGCTCTCTGGATTCTTCTTAACTATATCATCTACCCACTTTTTCCAGGCTTCCTTAAACTTCATTCTTATTTCTTCCTCTGACGGAGTTTTCTGTTTCCCCTTTACCGTTTTTGCAAAATCTGTGGCCAATTTTTGAATTTCTTTCTGATTCTTTAGTATGCGATCGTTGCTTTCCATTAAGGCTTTGCATTTCTCTTTCTCAACTGAAAGTTTTTGTCTCACGTCAGTAATAATAGCACGAGACGTTGTGTCAAGTTCAGTGTCTTTTCTACCTTTCCAGTGGACCATATAATCGGATAAATCTGATTCTTTGAAAAAATGCTCTAGTTCTTCAGCTATTGCCTTAGTTTTTGTATCAATTAGTTTTGAAAACGTTATCAAAAGTGTAGATTCTTTGTTTTCAAGGTCTTCGACATTTTCGCATTGCCTGATTTTTGGACGAAGATTATCATGTAACCATTTTAATTTCAGTTCATCGAGCTGAAAAGTTAATTCTTGAAATTTATTTTCCAGTAAGCTGTATGCTTTTACTTCAAGTACATTTCGGAAGCTGAAGACGAAATTCTCATACAAAATGCCGTTCCAGAGGCTCTGCAAATGATCTCTAGTGCTTTGAAAGGAAAGGTAACTGTGGTTTTTATCACTTGTCAGATCTGTAAGAATGCAATTAGCTACTTCAGTAACACTTGTGCTGTACTGCGAACTAGCTGGTGCCATTGGTGGAGTGCCATGCCATAAATCAGGAATATATTTGACATGTTTGATTGGGTTAAAGCTGATAACATCTTGAAATGACTTGATATTTCCTACATGTTCCTCAATTGCTACCTCTTTCGTCATTTTATCCAAATTGTTAACAATTTTCTGATTTCCTTGAATCGTCATCTTGTCTGCATCCTGGGCTGAAACATTTTGATGAACAAATACACAAGACTGTTTTAAATTTATCTTTTCATTTGCTTGTTTCAATCTAATCAGAGCATGAACAACTATCTGGAGAACATCCTCCATATCTGCGATTGTTTCTCCTTTAATATTTATAATGGCAACGTCTCCCATACCAATAACTAGAGTTGCAAGTTCATTATCATGATTCACCTTTTCTCCAGCCAGCTCAGGTGCACGCAAACCTTCTGTATCAATAACCATTGCGTAATCAAACTTTAAGGAGGATTTTTTTTTATCTACAGGCACTAATTGAATAAAAATCCCCCTCGTGCATCTTCCTGCGCTAACAGCAAATTGAAGACCAAACATTGTATTTAGAAGAGTAGATTTTCCAGAACTCTGGATACCTAAAACTGAGATAGCAAAGAGACGTTTATTTTCACCGATTATTTTTGAAACCTCATGAAATACAGCATCTATCCATTTCAGAGGAACATTAGCAGCATCGCCATCCATAACTTCTAATGGTTGTCCCCAACATAAAAGTGTTGCGGCAATTAAAGGTAATGAATATATAACCTCTCTTGTTTTCTCAGTAACTGTACAAGGCAAATCATCTTTACAGTAAATGAAAGCTTCAAAAAGCTGACCCATTTCTCTGAAAAAGTGTTCTAATCCAAATGAAGAGTGTGCCAATTTTTTTTCTTTAATAGATATAGTTTCCTTGAGTTGTGCCAGTTTTTTCTCATTTTCATCAGCATTTTCTCCTCCCTTTTGTGATCTTATAAACTCAAACTCATGAAAGGCTTTCCTCAATGAGTTCAAAACACAAGGCAAAATAGTTCTAGATCGACTGTCCATATACTGACGCAACCATGATAGGAAAAATAATGTTGTCTGCTTATCATTAATTAAAGTTAGTAAAATCTGTACGAAACGGGCCATTGTGTCTGATGTTTCTTCAAAAATGCAAATTTGTTTCATCCTCAATATTCGCATCCTTTCCAAGTGAGGTTCGTTAAAATTAATTTTCTCTTGTTTTCCTGATCGGCGTTCCTCCTTCTGCTCCTTACTCCATTCATGCCATAAAGTTTCTCCTTGAAGTGGTAGAATATCCCTTTTCTCTAGTTCTCTTTTCCATTGGTTTCCTTCTATTTTGGAAATAATTTCATCACAAAGCTGTTTTCCTGAAAGCGATTTTGATAACTCTTCATCACAACAGAAATCTGTTGGTAATCGTTCACTTATTTCTTCAAGAGACACCATGATTTTATGATGAAGTGTATCATAAATGTCATTGATTAAAAACTGTTTCACTTCAATTTCATTTAAATGTCGCCCTTCTGATGTTGTTGAAAGAATTGAGCACTTCTCATATGAAAGGTTTGTCTTTTCCTCGTACATCTGAATAAATTGTTCCGTTTCATTATCGTCATGAGGTAAACTTGTGATTATAATAACATAAGCTTCAGATGCATGGATTTGTGCTAAAACGGGAAGATATTTCTCGCTTTCGATGTCTTCGTAGTCTATAATAAGCACCAACGCATTAGCAAAATTAGTCAAAAAGTGAAGTTGTTCCGGAAAGGAAAATGCATCTCCTCGTAGATTTAATATTGTAAGGGGTTGCTCAATTTTTTTTTCTTTCTCGTTTGGATTCCGAGAGTCATCATTTTTTGTATTTGATTTTGGAATATACCAACTTGCTTCGATGGTTCCATTAGCAAAACTTCTTTTACAATGTCCAAGTAAGCAGTCTTTATGAAAGAAAGTACTGTGTTCATCGTTTTGACCTCTCAGAAATTGGTTTATCAATTTTGATTTTGAGCATTTTCTTTTATCACCAATTCTTATAAAAGCTAATGTTTGCATTTGCTTTGTCGCAACAGATTCAGATCCACTATCAATGAAAATTTCCCTTAAAGGCCATAACGAAAACCTGAAAAGTTCCTGTTCATAATCCCAGTACACCAAGGGCACAGCAACTTGACAAAGTTGCATCTTCTGTACAACTAGTCTTTTGAGAAATGGATCCAAACACTGGAATAATGCAAGAAAAACGTCTGTAGGATGATACTGTTCATTTGTTTGTCTTTTTGCTTTTCGGGATGATATGAGCTGCCGTTTGGGGTTTTCTTCTTATTTTTTAGGGTGTGATTGCTCAAGCTTTTGAAGCAAATCGTGCAAAACCTTTTCCCTAAAGTCAAAGTTTATGGCAATTATCTTTCCAAGCATAGCCCAAGGAAGTTCTGCAAACGATGATGGTTCTGTGAATTGATTTTCATGCATTTTTATTACGTCTTGGAGACTCATTTTCTCTGGATAGAATTCAGTCATATTCATTTTTGCTAAAATATTAAACAATGGTTTTTGCTCAACGGATGATGAATGCTCGAATACAAGATCCTCATAATAGAGGGGTCTATACACTTCACTTTTGTCTCCTTCAAAGTAAGTAAGAGAAATTCCTGATATCTGCATCATTCTTTTCAAAATTATCTCTAGTCCAGTATCGGTTTGACCACAAACAATATTTAATATACTTTCATCTAATTTCAGCCCCATTTTTATTATCGTTTGAATGATGTCTCTAAAACACGCAGCCTTTTCTCCTTTATTAATGAATTGGAAAATAATGCTCTGTAGAGTCCTGGCTTGATTAATAGAAGAAGAATCAGACGTATAAGCTCCCATTAACATAAGAGACTTCTTACACCTCACAGAATACTCTTGAATGACACTTTTTGTCAAAGTCTCTTTGATCTTCTTTGTTTTGATATCATAACCTAGCGTCAATGCATTGGAAAACATGGCTAGGTATTGTTGTGTATTTCCAGATGATAGTAACTTTTCCAATGCACAAGAAACAGCTTTTTGTAAAGTCGATGTCAAAAACTGAAAGAATGCTTCTTCTTCGCATATTTCTTGTGTCAATATATTTGTCACCACAGGGAGAAATATTTCTTCCATTGCACAACTTGTGCTTCTGATATCATGGAATGGACAAGGCAATACAACGAATTCACTCAACACATGTTTTCGCAGCCATGTCGAAATCTCCAGCACAAATTCTCGTCTACAATTGCCATATTTATTTGCTAAGTTCAAAAACCCATGCCAAAGCTGATGTTTTTCCTCAGAGCCTTGGAATTTCATATCCATCAGTTTTCTTAAGAAGGGTTGCAGATATTTTTCGCAGTCTATCATGGTCTTCTGGATAGGCATAAAGCCGAATTTTGACTCACCTTCATAAAGTTGCTGTAAAAGAACCAAAAAATCATCCATTTGTGGGAGTTTACTTTCATTGGCAAAGGCCTCTCTCTTCTTCAAAAAGCTATCTTTCCATTTTTCAATAAGATCGCAAAAATCTCGGTCTTCATTTTGATTAACAAGATTCGTCCAAACAGCAGCAACAAAGTTTGCTAATTTTTTAGGATTTTTGAAACTTTCACATTTATGCTCGATCAACGTCCAGACCCCAACATAATCTCCATTTTCGTGTTTTTCTTTATTTACGACAGTCCAGGATCTTTCACAGTGAGATAATGTGCTTTTCCAAAGAGGATAACTAACAACGGGGTAGGCCCCTCCATATTGATAACTTCTTGTTGATACAAGTTTGAATTCTTTGAATTCTTGATTGCTTTTCAAAACTGTACCGACATCTGGACATCCTAGTTTGCAAAGATGCCTAGTCATTAAAACCCGATCTATGAATTCTTTTCTTTTTTCTGTAGCCTGGCAATTATTTCTTTCAATGTATGCAATTTGTATCTCAAAAATTCCACCTAACTGAATCATGTTTAATTGGAAATGTGAGCCATATGATTCAAAAAAGTTTATACAAATTGTTTTCGCCTTTGACGAGTTTGATATCATGAGACTTTCAATCTTTTGAAGGATTCTTATTGCTTTTCCTGTTAAGGACAAATCGGCAACTTTTGGTTCCCACTGAGAAACAGGGACAACAAAAAAAGCAGCAGCTCTTTTGACATTCATTTCATCACTTTTTGTTTGATCAGGACTTTCGTCGAACCTTTCTAACGAAAATTTTCTGCTTTTTATTTTAGGAAGAATTTCATTTTCAACTTCTCTTTGTTTTTCCAGTGTATCAAAATCAAAAAATCGGGTGTGTGGTTTCTGATCACATTGTTTGATTTCAACTTCAGAAATAATGTCTACCAGTTGCTTCCGTTGTTCTGAAATATCTTTTTTTCTCCCAGACAATAATATACCACACAAAGCTGCACCAGACAAGCATTGTTTTAAAGCATCTCTGTTGGAAAGACATTTTGATCGCATATGTTTTAAGCAAACAGTGGCATCTTTTGTGAGATTCTGACAAATGTTTGCATGTATGTTGAAAGTTTCTTCCATAAATTCAAGGCCTTGTTGAAGTCCAAGCACTTCAAGTATTTGACGGGGAGTCGATTTTCTCCAGTCGGTTTCTTCATGTTGTTGGAGAATTGTCTGTAGCTTTTTCAAGCACTCTTCTAACACCTTCAATCAGAGAAAAATATCTCAAAACACTGAAGTTAAATACGAAGTAGACTTACAAGCTCATTTTAAAGGGATTTTATTTTACTTTAAGTGTCGTATGAATGTAAGATGTTAGATATTTGTCTTCATCTTCATTTACATTATGTATGCAGTGGCTTGGGTTGTAATTTCGAATTTAATCTTGAATTTTCATTATTAATATGTTATTAAACTGCATATACTTTATTTTGATATAGTTCGGTATGAAAGACTTTCCCAGATAAATCCTTCCAGATGTCCTCTGTCAAGCCTATTTATACATGTCGTTACCCATTTATTTACTTGTCATAAACTACCTCAACACCGAGGACTTTACATGGGATTATTAATTTTTTCTTACGATTAAGTGTACGATAAAACCAGAGACTTTAGAATGTAAAATCGGAAAACTCTAGTATTTATCATTCATTATAAAACTCATTTTATATTAAAATTTTAAGCTGCCTTTATAATGAATATTGAACTGAAGGTACTGAATTGAGGTGACGTCTTTTTTTCTCAAGTTTTTTTTTTTCCAAATACAAAAAGGATATATGCATCTATGAGAAACCCTTCTGAAACATGAATTGATATTTCTTTTAATTATGTATAATTAAAAAGGATGGACAATTAGATAAGAAACGTTCTTTGCATTCTTTACCACAAACTAATGTAATTTGAAATTATTAATACGTCTTCCAGACAGTCTTATAGAAATATATAACTTTTTTAAAGTACTCAGATCCTCAGGTTCATAAAATTAGCAATTAACTAATGGAAAATACTAATAAAACTATCACTGAATCTACAAAGTAATGTAGATTTATCCACAGTAAAGTTAATCATATTAAATAGGAAAAATTGTCACATCTCCAATATGAAATCGGAAAAAGCGAATAGGAATATCAGCTATTTTTCAATTTGCAAATTGATCCACAAATATATTTTAGGTTATCATATGTATCCAAGCTTTTAGAGAAATTGTGTGAATTTTATACTTATTTTGTATTCTATGTCTTATATTTCCTTCATGTACTGTATAATACATGGTGTAAAAGGTCTTTGCTATCATTGCAAGACATCATAAATAACTTCTAATTTCATATCATGCTAATAAGCATTTGGTATATTAGACTTGATTCAAGAAAATTCACTTCTCGAAAACTGTATTTATTTTTTTCCCTTTCATGGGATACAAATGTCAACTTTTTAAAAGACATATTCTTTTACTTCCATAAACCTTGAATTATAACAAGATGAATAGAATGAAAATTGTTGCATGAAAAGTTTTCATTTCCAAGCCTCATATTGATGTTTTTAAATAAAATATTGATATTTGGCGTTATCCTTTCTGGCTGAGGATCGGATATTCTTAAATCTAAAATATTATTTTTCTCTATACTGAAAAAAAGCAGAAGAATCACACGATAGTTCTAAAATGCATTTTATGCCTGAACGAATTTGCCGTCGGTACCCTGTATGAGAAAAGTCAACCTTCTTATTGTTTGGAAAGTTCATATCGAAAGCTTCTCTTGCCTAGACGAGAATTAAAGCTGTATTTTGACAAAATCTACAAGTTATCTTGATGAGAAAGTTGTTTTCACTTGACGCAATTTCAAATTCTGTCAAAAATTATGTGGATAACAAACAGATCCCACTATATAAGAGAGATTAAAATATGCATTCCTAAAACACTCAAACCAATTAGATTTTAGAAAGGGTGACATGAGTGATGCAAATGAATAGATTATTTTAAGATTTTATTCATTTTGTAGAATATGAGGATAAACAAAGTATAAAAGGCTCATAATATACCTTGATCAATAAAAAATCATTTGATAGATAAGAATAAAAGTAACTGTACATATACATGACTAAGTTTATTTTGGTAATTAATAATGTAGATGGATAAAAATGTTGTTCGGAATTGCTTAAATATCAAGGTTTGAAACAAGGGTGCCGTATGGAATTATTTGTAAAGCAAATACAGTCAATGTCGTGTGCCAAACGCGTCAAACAAATACACATTCCTAACAATATTCAGCATATTGAATGCAGAATTTATTACATTATGTTGATGATAAACAGATGATTAAAAAGAATGATAAATCTATAAAGGAATTCTTTAAAGGTATGAAAAGCATCAGGTGCTTAAATGAATTTTGCAAAAAAGGGTTTTAAACAATACGAAATCAAAGAGAAAGTGACCCAAAAGATGAATTTCAAAAGACTTGATCTAACTTCCCGGAAAAGTGACACTTAAAAACCCGAGATAATAAGCACTGCCCTCAGATTAACCTGGTCTGTATTCCCCTGTCAATTAAATTCAGTGGTGCCTCATTTATCCGGACGCTTTGGTTCCCAGTCAATTTGTCCGGATATGTGAAGCGTCCGGATATCTGAATTGCCAGTTAAATGAGACAAAATAACATTTAAAAATTCCGTTCCCGTGAATAATCGTCCGGAAACTGAAGCATCCGGGTATCTGGCGTCCGGATATCTGAAGGTCCACTGTAAATTAAGGTCCATCATTGGGTACTTGAAATTGATTGACATTTAGCCACAAGTCCCTGTGTATGTCTCTTTCACTTTAATTGACACGCGTGGCCACCATCAAATTAACTTTCGGTTCTCTGATTGATTGATTGATTGATTGATTGATTGATTGTTACTGTTTAACGTCCCTCTCCAGAATATTTCACTGATATGGAGACGTCACCATTGCCGGTGAAGGGCTGCAAATTTAGGCCTATGCTCGGCACTTACGGCCTTTGAGCAGGGAGGGGTCTTTATCGTGCCACACTTGCTGTGACACGGGGCCTCGGTTTACACGGTGTCATCCGAAGGACCGCCCCATTTAGTCGGCTTTTACGACAAGCAAGGGGGTACTGAGGACCTATTCTAACCCGGATCCCCACGCTATTTACCACTAAATCACCACTGTAATGAGGAAGCCATTTCCTTGCAGACAATTTTAGCTTATTTATGATTATCTGCATTACAAACATATCATCGGAAAAAGAAAATGATCTCACAAAGTTTCAATAATATAAATCAGTCAAAATTTTGTACACTGTATATGTTATCTAATGAAAAGTGCATAGGTGACTGAAATCTTGTTTTCACTTGTAAAAAGATTTTTGTTTAAAGACGCGGCGAAAAAAATTACGATAAAAATAAAGGAAAAAATAAGTTGGTAACACGTTTTCCATGTAATGGATAGTAAGGTTGAAAACTGTCTGATTAGTAAAAAGTTCGCCTGGACAAGTATGAAAGTATTAAGAGTTTCTTTTCTTTTCCTATAACCGAACATTTCTTGCTACGTGGGTTTTTAGCACCGTTCAAGATCACTGGTGTTAAAATAGTTTTGAAGGAAATACATAATAGCAATAAATTAATATCTAAGTTGTTTCATAATAATCTAAATTTACTTAAAATACACATTTGTATGTAATTTAACTGAACGAAAGCATCGTTCTTGCGAATTTTAACAATAAAATACAGAATGTACATTTGCTAAAAATGGGACCATGCGACTTTTTATACAAACGGGAAGTTACTGTTACTATTTCATCGTGATCGAAGTTCTAATTGCTCTATATTTACAATAATTCTGAATAGTTTTTAAGATTTTAAAAGGGACAGGCAAGGATTAGTATTTCACTTTTGAATTTATTCCTTCATATTTACATCCACTGAATATTTCCTCCTTTATTTCTTAAGAAAACCCATTGCGTTAATCAATGCATAAACTACACTAGGCATGTCACCTGTACAGATTTCTTGATCAGTGGTTGTTCCATCATTGAAGCGTACAAAGAAGTTCGCTTCATTAATGCAATAATTAATCCTTTTTCAAATAATTATTTAAAGAGATATACTAGTAAATGTAAACAATAAAATGTCTTTCTTTGGTCGTAAGTACGGGAATGAATGTCGCAGATATTGCAGAAAAATACATAACCCTCGTAAGAATGCATTTTATTGCTTAAATTTCATTATTTTTTTAACAAGTCAATGCTGCAGTGACGAACAATGTAAGGTATATACCGTGGCTTTTTTTTTTTTTTTTTTTTTTTTTTTTACAAAATTCGACCAGTGAGATTTCTGCTTGTTTGATATTTGATACAATGTATAAGTTTGAAATTGTGGAATTTTACAATTATCAATTATTATTACTAATGATATTTTTTTTATTTACGATGTTGAGATCTACTAATTTTATGAAGAACAGAAGGCCAATAAGCTGTACAGGTAATACTCATGGACTTCCTGTGTATACT